GACTCATTGATCTAGAAGTTGATATCTGCCATGAAACCTGTTCTTGGGCAGGGATTGTATAAACGCACTGCTGAAGAGTTTTATACCAAGATGAAGCGGTTATTTAGTAAATCCTGGAAATACAGTTGTTGTCAAGTTAAAATTATTCTGGGTTGTAATCTATGAAATTCAACAATATTTACAGATCGCTATTTAACAAAAGGGGAGCACTAAATAAGTCGGCGAACTTTATACTTTTAACAGATATTATTGTTTCGATAATACTACCGAAGGACCCCATACTAGGACGAAGTGGCCGTCCAGTGCTTCCAGGTTCCCAATGTTGGTCTAGTAAAAACACTGTATATTATAAAACACAATGGTATTTTTTGAGCTTCATGCACAATTATTCTTTCAGTATCAAAATCATCAGTACCAACCGAAAAGTACTGGACAAATTTATTTCGCCGCACTCTATGACTATTCTTCAAACTCTACTAATAAATTAGCATATTTCTACAATTTGCATCGCGGAATGATTCTAGTTTGATAACTAGTGAAAACAAGGAGGTTTTGAAAAGGGTACTTCGTTCCGCTGATGTAAAGTACAAATTTAATATTTCACATAAGTTTCTATACTAAAATATTTCTATAAGTTAATTACATAATTTTCAAAAATAAATCAATCATCTCCTGAATGTGGTGGTTTTGAATGAGAATATTTAGACGTATAAATACGACTATAAATTACTTTTCAAGTAGTATATAACCCTAGTACATTCCTATTTTGCCACGTAATTACAGCTTCCATGGTAACACTTGCTTACAGAATGGTATTTGAATATGATTTCTTTCTGAGGTACATAAAAATTACCCGTTTCCTGTTACTTTGACATTTGTGCCTTGATACATATAAAGTGTCCATGCACGCAGTGATCTCATTATGAAATCCTCGTTATACACAATGGCAATTTAAATTAGGCATCGTTTTTTAAAGGAATCAACACCTGCTAGGTATATACTAGGATAAAAATCATTTCCATATTGTGATAATTTAGTTATCTCTCAGATTGTAGTTATAGCAAACATAATATTCTCTGCAAATACACATCTAAACTATGGATAGACAAGGTAATACTGTCAAACGTTTGATTGCATTTTATCATCACAATCAATATAAAAATGTAATGAAAAGAAATATACCATAAGATGCCTACCCATGAAATATAACTTTCTTAACATACACCATCGATAAATTAGTTATTTGAGAAATTAGTTAGATATCAGATACATAAACAATGTCTATATGTTTCATCTTAATATCTTAGGAAAACTTATTACTCTACATTAAACTAAATGAACTAGATTTCAGTTTTCAATTTCACTGAGAAACATCTTACTAAAGATTATTACATAATTTTTCATAATGTTCCCTTACTTCAAGTTGATTCATTAATTAACTAACCTCTTGAACAATTACGAAGTAATAAAATTCGATATTGAAGGGTTTGAATTGTTTCTTATTATCAATCAAGAGAAGTTACCATTATCATTGTGACATTCCATAATATAATGATAGTTTAAGTTTATTTATAAAACTTAAGTGGGTTTTATATATAAATTAAAACAAACAAAATCACGATTATATTGTCTAGCTATAGAAATATAGTTTTGTTACTATGTTGGATAATTTGATTAGCTTAATGAAAAGAATAAATTTAACCATTGGTAATCTAAACTTCACATCAAGTTGACAATAAGACTGAGTGTTGTAATTTTATTTTTCAAAAATGTTCACACTTTATTCCATTGTATCGATAGACTAAATTATTTTTTGATACTTAGTCTGATAATTATGTCACATTAATCCTCATTGAAATACCAAATAAAAAACATCTTAAAGTCATATGAACAGTTAATTCATTCACCTCAAAAGATTAAGTGGGATTTGAGTCGTTCAGAGAAAGTTTTTATCTTGTAATGACATTTATTGAAAAAGCTATTGATTACTGGGAAGCGTAGAGGAACTAGTCTGGTATGGTTTGGTATACCTCTATATACCAGATACATTAAAACCTATATGGTATAGAATCCAGAATCGTAATGACTTGATGGATTTGGTGGTTAAATTAGAAATGATTCAGTAACAGTAATAATTATAACTATATGATTTACATTACACAAAGATATTGGAAATCTCAATGTTTGCGAAGATCTTTAGGTTTATGTGATAACACGAAAAGTTATGTTGTGCCTTCCAATTTATATAAACAAGAATACTTCACTGCTTCGTGCGGCCTCGCTTCATATACGTTTAAGAGAACTAAATTTACCACATCTACATATCCTGAACATTTGGATGGTTTCTCCTACTATGTGCTTTAACTCAACAATTTATTCACCAAACATACTTGTTGGTAAAATTATAATGCTTGGATACGAAAACGTATGATGTAACTTGTTTGCGCTCTAAGTAAATTTCAGTAAATAACCCTTCCCATTAATCTTAAAAAAACTCTTATTAATGATGTTTCATGAAATCATTGTACACATTAGGGTCAAAATAATCTCCGGTAGTTCGTAACTTCAGGTACGTATTTTAAACTTGTTAACAAAAGAAATATAAATCGATGTACTTAGAATATTTTACAATCACTTTAATATTTCTCTTATACAGTCCTATCACGGCAATAATGTTGGTATTCCAAAGCAATTTTGTAGGTTTTGTATACATCTGTCACCATTGAAATGGCGATCTAGCTTAGATCGATTCATGAATTCAACTATTAAAGTTACTGCAATTACCACAAACCCACATCCTGAAAATAAATTTGAGTTAGAAAAAACTACCTTTCTGTATAAAGTTTTTGCTTGAATACTATCATATTGTTTTGAACAAATTTCTTGCAAATTTCTATTTCCACTTCGCTTAAAACATAAAAGTTGAATAAGGCATAAATAATGGTTTCTTTGACTTCATCATTTATCTATCAAGGCAGATAGACAAAAACCTCAGTTTTAAACTAATCATATGATTGGTCACTTATTTTAGGAAAAACGAGTTAGGCGCAGTTGGATTAGAAGAACAAATCATATTAGGTAGAGGGTGCACATAGTTTGTATTAACAAAGATGTTATCTATTTGTTAAGGCAAGTATGGACAAAGACTATAAACAGAAAAGAGTGAGTGATCTTTCGAAGACACCTTGTATGATGCATCCGTCCACTGTTCATTTAGTTAAGACAAGATTTATTGATTTAATTGAATCAAAATTTTTAATGAACAGATCAAACGTAAATGTCAGTTTATTAAGAGGAATTTTTATCTAAAATTCAGAAGTGATCTGATATTCTATATATATGTGACACTACTTTTCACATATGTAAGGTGTAGTAAACCTATGTAGGTATGAGATATTTCTGTGTATTTCATACAAATTAGTAGTACATGAAAGACACTAATACATTTATTTCAAGATCTGTCTTTTTTATATGAAGTTCTACATGCACACGAGGATAGCTCTTTGATGTATATTTCAAAAACTAGACTTTCAATTACATAATAATTTCATACAGAGATATATTAAATGACTTGTATCATAAAGTATACACCATTTTAATTGCTGTAAAGCAAAGAAATTTCAAAATTTTATAATACTACGAGTGCTTTTGATGGTAAACATTCATTTTCTGAGTACAGGTCTAACATCAAATATTTAGCTCATAAATTTAATCGGATGATAGCAACTGAATTGATATTCTGAACAAAATATTGGTCAAAGACGTTTGGTTTAAAATGATCTTTCGCTTCTACGTTATTCACTTTCTAAATAATCAATTTGTTGTCAGTATTTGCATTGTGAAAACAATGACTAACTCCTCATATCTAAAATTTGCTATGTATACTAAATTCATGCATAAGATTTCAATTCATACTTCTTTAAAACTTACACCCAGTCAATTGTAAAGATAAACAGAATACTAAACTCGTATAAACTTCCCTAGTGGTTTAGATTACTTAAATTTTAGACATTAGCTGAATTGAAAAACATTCAGCTTTTAGAGAAAAGCAAAATCAAGCTTGTTACTCTATGGCAAAGGCTATTAATATTTGTAATAACCTTTAGTGATTGTGGAGTGTAATATAAGAGAAAAGCGAATATTTCATTTTAAACTTACTACAGTCACTTGATTTATATTTGAAGATCATAATAAATAGAAATAAGGATAATAAGGCAATGATAGAGTAATGGTTTAAGGTTATGAAGCTTTGACCAAGGGAAGCGCGCCACACAACTGTATTAAAGTCCTTATTTGTGAATATTATTATTATTATTATTAGTGGCATAACGAAACTAATGTCGATGAAATGCCATATTTTATGCTGCCAGATAATTAGGTTTGAGGTCAGTAAGGTCGATGAAAGTTATATTATCTCCAAGTCCTCTTAGTTGGGATCATACTTTGTGTGAATTAAGAGTATTTATAAGATAACTTGCAAAGCTACATTGTTCATAACGAAATGTTTTAGTACCTATTCTATAAAAAAACTAGGAAATCTACAATCGATCACATTCATTCAGAATTTATTTAAACAAGATATCAATGTACTAAATTATTTAATGAATTGCATAGATCAAATTATAGTATTAAGTACAAGAATTTGACCAGTCTACCTATGTCAAACTGTAGAAAATTCTAATTTCTACATTTATATATTCAATATATTTGTTAGTTATGTTATGTAGTTGAGACCATAAGTCATTTGAAGCTAGACCACCATGGAAAACCTAGGAGCAGTGGACGACCGTTTCGTCCTATTGTGGGAATCCTCAGCAGTGCGCATCCACGATCCCGCCTCGTAAGATTCGAACCCAGGACCTATCAGTTTCGCGCCAGAGACAGTACTTGATATTATAAATTACGTGATATATTTTTTTTATTAAATCAACTTTCAAATTGATTAAAACACTTAACAAAATGTAATATCTTTCAATCATAATAAATTTTACATTATTTAGCTTGTTGCTCATGATCCAGATAGTACATCTAAACTCACATATACAATGGCTTCTTCATTAGAATATCAAGTAATGTCAAGTACATTTCATATTGAAGCTGATGGACATGTTAGACTGCATAGCAGTTTAGATTATGAAATACGTCATATTTATTCAATTCCAGTTGAAGTTACTGATGGAGAATTCTCTGCTCGTACTACTTTGAATGTTCAAGTATTAGATGTTAATGATGAACCACCAGCATTTGAATTAAATCCTAAACAACTAATCGCTGATGAAAATTCTCCACCTGGAAAACTAATTGGACGAGTAAGATGAATAATTATTTCTTCATCTTTCATAAACCATTATTTATTATACATTACTACTTATGAAAATAATGCTATAAGTTGTTTGATGCTCAAAATGTGTTGTTACTGTTATCCGATAACAATAATGAATTGAATTTTCGCATACTCACTGAGAAGCCTGAAATTTTTGGTATCAAAGCTAACAAAATTGGTTTGATCTCATATGTAGATAATGTTGAATTGCATTTTGTCGTTTTGATGAATGAAGACCTGTAAAAAATACTATACTGTTCTCTCTGCCTAATCACAAAAATGAGGTTCGAAAAGGAAACACTGAATTCATTCACAGGCAAAAAATAAATTTTGTAATGCTTATGAGTAACGTACGGAAACCAACACAAATTTTGCATGCACCGGATGACTACATACACAATAATTTAACAATACATTGTAATCAAAACATGTTGATTAGTGTTGATCAGAAATGCGATCACTTCTGTTTAAATATTATAAAAACGACTTAACGTGATAATATCTTTAGATTGTTGCCTAGGAACTAGTTTTCAGTTTGATATTCTCATCTAAAGTTTATAATTGAAAATGGAATTGTATGAACAGCATTTTAAGTTACTTTATTCAATGAGATGATTTCTTTTTATTAATTTAATTTAGTACATAAGGTGCTGTATGTTACAAACTTTATACTCTAGGTGCGAATACGTGACCCTGACAGTCCTAGTGTAAATGGACTTGTAGAATGTTCAGAGCCACCAGGGTTGGTTCGTCGTCAGGCACTTAATTTTTTACCAGATCCAACTGTCAATCCAAGTGCAGAAGTTTTTGATCTAACTACCAGAATCATGCTTGATAGAGAAGATCCTGAGAATCCTATACCCGGTCACCTAATCATATATTTAATTTGTTCAGATGGTGGTTTAAGCTCTGGCGGAATGATATCGCATAACTCGGATAGTAAAATACGTTTGACATCAACAATGACAGCAACTTTATCCATACGAGACGTAAATGATCATAAACCAATTTTTGAAAATTCCATTTATCATATGTCCATTCAAGAAAATAATCCTATTGGTGAAAAAGTAGTACAAGTAAGCACTTTATATATATGATTTATGATGGAAGTTTTTCTGATGCAATCATTTTTTGTTTAAACTATTTTCACGGCTGTGAATAAATCATTAAAATTAGATTTTACTGTAGTTGAGATTAACAACAATATACTATTTCTTAAATAAGCTGTAATGAAAAGATATCCGAGGGAGTGTTTGTGGAGATCCAGCGTGCGGGATCTTGGATGCGCACTACCGAGGAGTTTCATATTAGGAAGAAACGGCCGTCCAGTGATTCTAGGTTTTTCAGTGGTGGTCTAACTCAAATCAACTCATGAATTTAACTATGAAAAAATATTTTCTTCGTTTATAAATTCGATAATTCTATCTCTATAGTTAAGTTCGATTAATTAGATGGTTTAAAAAATTACAACTGTTATGTTCTTCTTATACATCATTGTTTAATGTATTAGGTTGTATCTTAGAATCCCAATAAGCATACTCCAACATTTTGAGTCAAAAACGAAATGGGCAAGCGACTGTCATTATTTTTTTTATGTAACATAGTTCTAGTAATTAAAAAATAAATTATCTACTATATCTAATTTACCAAAGCCTTTCATGTCATTTTCATTATATTACTCTGTAAGAATTTAATTAACGATAAATACAATATGTAGAACAACTGGGATTAATAGCTATTTGTATTACTTGTTCTCAGTCCTAACACAATTAATTTCCCTATTTAACGCTACTATCACCAACCGAACACATATATGACCATGCTCAAAATTTATAATTATTTGATACAGACATCAACATATGTACAAATCATGATGTTAGTTTTTAGGGGAACCAATTCTAGCTGAACTAAAAGGAAACTTATCTTTACTATAAGTGTTCAACTTTTTATTAGATTTTAAAGTACTAAATTACTTATTCATGGCTTTTGAGATGTTGAAGATGATTTGTAGCTGATGAAGAATATTTAAGGATTGTTTAATGTTAAATGATCAACATTCACTGAATTTTATGGTATAAACATTTTAATAAGTAACTTTTTGTTTTTATGCTACAACATTTCAGGCAGACAAATTCAACATAGTTCACTCCCTGTATATCAAATGTGAGGCAATCGAAGGTGATCGATAGGAGGCCTTAGATTTAGGTTTTTCGGAAGATGTCAATCTTTATAAGGTTATATCTCTAACCTTCATTAAGCTGATGCCACCAGTTACATTTGAAACTGAGTTACCCAGTATTATCAAGATGTTAATATTGAACTATTAAGATTCCAAATGACCTCTTTTGGATATCTCCTGCCAACAGATGCCAATTAGCGTGGAACCAATGCCTAAGACTTCCCATTGATTACCTTCAGGAAAACAATATCAATATATGGTCTACGCGAAGTCTGATCACTCAAACTAATTGATTGCAACTAAAACTGGTAGATAAGATTTTATCTTACAAGCAGGATGTCGATAGTCACACAACCGTAAATGCATAATATTTAAACATCTTTATTTACTAAAATATAACTTCACTGAATTATAATTTGCTTAGTTTCAAATATAGTTTTATTTATTCCTATTTACTTCTATCACAATCAATAGTCACATAAAATGAATATTCATATATTCTTGTCCTTGACAGATTAGAGCTCATGATTCAGACGAAGGAGAAAATGCTAGAATCACATATTCTCTGTTGGATAGAGCTAACTTCAAAGTAGATTCTTTAACAGGTTGGATTACTCCAAATGTAATGTTTGATCGTGAAACACGTGATTCATATCAAGTAAGTAACTATAGATACAATAATTTTCGTATGGCCTACTACTAGATCCTTACAACGAAGTAGGATAGATTTACCATTAAATTTAACGATTTGTTTATTTATTTATTCATTCATTTTGAAAACTTTAATTACATTCGTAAATAAATAAAAAGTATTCTATACTGACTAAATAACGTGAAATAATGAAAGTTAATATTTGATATACTTGACAAAATTTCTTACTACAATCAATGTAGATAGTATTTCACGTAACCTTGTGTTATAAAGCTTGATTTTCTGATCATTAACTGATTTATTTCACAAAGCTAATATTAATTTTAGTTAAATTTGTATAGGTTCTCTTATGGATCTAACTCAATTATGTGGTGCTAAATAGGTTCTTTGTTAAGTTGTATTTATCTTATCACCATTCATAAATTTTAACCTATGTAGATCCATTCGGTCATTTTATAGACAATATCTTAAAACTGGTATCACAGAAAATGGGTTTTTGAAATTTAAAAAGATGCCATATTTGTGTGTTACCATAAATTTTTTGGGGAAAATTATAATTCCACGATTAACTTATTAGTTTGGATAAATCAAGTAATTTTAATATATGGTGTTTAATTACAAGCCGTTGAACAGTACCAAATAATAATAGCTTTAATTTGAACTCACCAAGATAAACAAGATATACGTATAAGCGTCCTAAAGGAATGTCATGATGACTTAAAGCCGGCAAACATGAAACTGTATAAAGTGATGGGTTACTTTTTAAAGAGCTTGATTTTTGGACATCAAGTCGCGTACTCAAACACTATTCCACTCACTTTGATTTATACAACTATGTAGTATCCCTAATGCGGACACCTTGAGTGTGGCCTTAAGTCAGGTACATGAATCTATACTTGGTAAAGCAGCTAATTAGACTGAAAATATGACATTCAAGATCAATAATCCAATCTCAATATCTCTGACAAACTGATGAAATGAATAAATGTAGATGTTTGGGGTTTCGTTCACTGACTTCACAGAACATTAGAAGTTTCATTTTGGTTATTGAACACATTTTAAGTCTCATAAATTTCATCCGTTATTCTATTGATCATAATTTAAGTTTTACAGTAGATCAGTGATAGAGAGCTATATGGGTATCCTGATGAAGTTTTAATTGAAATTGATATTAAATAATAATGATCCTATTCAACATTATGTTTAGCTAATGTAGGGAATTCTAAGCCCAAAATATAAAATCTTGCAAGATATTTCATTTTGATACACTTTTTAACTAAAAGATTAAAAAAAACAATCTCCAAATCTCCTATAATAATCATTATTCATCATTCAGCTTTACATTACATCTATTCTAATACGCTTCAGTGACTCCCCATCAAACAAAAATAAAGAAGAAGATATAGCAATGAACGTGTTATCATTGGCTAAGTTTTGGATTATTTAAAGTTGTGGTAAGTTGTCAGTGAATAGTGAAGTTAATATACATCAATAACTAATCAGAACAAATCTGACACTCTAAAAATATATTGAAGTAATTTCATATTAAACCAAGCTCACCGATTAAAACCATAAAACCCTCTTGTATAAGGTTCCATTATTCATTATCACTCAATCACAATTCTTACTTAAATAAGAGGTTAACTATATTGACAAGTAACTCTGTGGTACCATACATCCAATGGATTATAATTGAACGAGTTATATGCTCTAATTTTAGTTAGTGCGTCGTCTAGTACAAATATCATTCGAAATTATTAATTATCAACCGCTTCAGTCACCAAAACACTACATACAACATACATTTACATCTCAAAACAAAAGTCACCAAAGAGTACATAGTTATTCTTTAATTATCCAGTTTTGGATTATATCTTTTCTAGTATTGTTAATAAAATTTTGTAAATAAAAAATCACCTTGTCGATAGGAAACATCTTTCTAAATCTCTTTAACTCTAATATTTCTTCGAACATTTTCTGTTGACAAACAAAAGAACAAAACAACAACTATGAACCATGTTAGCTTTACCGTTTTAGTTAATTATTGTTTTTTCTTCTTTATCAACCATTTAATGTTAAACATAAATCAGAAATTCTATTTTAAAAAGTTTAGTCACTTCAATCAACATATGAAGTGTTTGTTAAAATGGAATGGAACAATTTAATTAATTTTTAAATGATATTTATTATCTTTAAATAATAACTCACTATATATCCATCGTTGAAACATATTTAATTTACTATATTTGTGTAGTTGTTTTTTCTTTCAAAGTTATGTTTTGTTTTTGGATGTTTCTTTCTTGTTGAGTTTTTCTTCTTTTTCGCATGTTAACCAAATATACAGAAAGACAACTAATCTATTTTATGTAAAGTAATAACAATTAGCTTTATCATGATGTATAGTTGAAGAAATTGTAAAAAGATCAAATAATTAGTAAACAAATCAGTCAAACAAAGTTGAATGACTATAGTCAGATGAAGGAAAAGTTTTTGTTTAGACTATTAATACTCAATTGGAAGATATTTTTGTAAACATTGAAAAAAATGTTTAATCATAGGTAGATTTAAAACGTCAGCATACTAAATTACTCGTTGATTACAAAAGAGAGTAAGTTAACATGTCCTTCTAATGCTAGATTGTACTACAGTCCATCTGGTGATGATCTCAGTCATGGAAATGTAATCTGGAATTCTCTTTCCGCTTATCTTAAACTATCCACTGATTATTACAGAATTTGAAGAATACTTTTCCACAAACATTCTCTGAATTAATGGTTAATTCATGCAGATTACCAAGTATTCTAGATAAATATAGACGATACCGTTACTGTATGAACTTGATTCATCTCATAGCTTAAGCTCTAAGATATTGGATTACATCAAATTATTTGATTTAATTACTACTTCTATTATTTTACATCTTTCATCTAAATAAATACGATCAGTCATTGGCGTATTCCTTACTATTGTTGTATGTTTTTCAAACAATCTGAACAAAATTGATTATTACTAGGATGTAAGTGTGGTAGCAGTAATTCAATGTGTGAGTAGCATACACTACTAAATGGCTTCATCTAAACAGTCACTAAAAACTAGTTCGAAGAAGAATTTTCGAAGTCGAAATGAGCATTTGTGACGGATGGTGTTCAACAGATATCACGGGTGATTCGGGACTGTCGTTCTGTAATATATGGAGTTTACCGAGGTTAGAAAGTTGGACTATTTGAGACAAGAATAAGTTGTTCACCATGAAGCCTGGATGTCCACGTTTTGATCCCTAAAGTGGTTATAAGTATATACTGCTTCTAAGTCCAAACATGTGATGAAACATGTATCCATCAATCCCTAGTTTTCAATGATTTCCAAGCTGAAATCAGCTTGTAACATAAATTATCTATGAAGTTAGTAATATCGGCTGCTAATTAATCGAGTTATTTGTGTGTTTTGTTCATTGTATGAATTTTATGTCTCTTGAATAATCACTTTAAGTGATAAACAACTGTACGTTATAATCACTGAATTTTAATTCACAGCTTTAACTTGAAATAATGACTATAAGTCAAAAAAAGAATCCAGTCTTTCTGGATGGTGCAAATGACCATATGAAAATACTTTATATCATAACTAACTATTAATAAACAGAGTTTATCGAAGAATTTCAATACTCATATCCGTCTTATCAACAATCCATATACATTTACTTGTGTTAACCAGTATTTAGTTGTTTGGTACTAAAAAAACCTAATATTCATTACATTTTGCTTCTCGGTACTTCATTTCCAAATCTAAGCTATAACGAATAACCAAGGTTTGAGCTCTCTATCTAAGTACACTAGATCAGTTAATCATTTCGATCACTTAACTTTTGTAATACATGTGTAAAAGTGATAAATGTATGTATGTGTTTTTGACACATTTGAAAAAAACACACACCTCTTTATGTCACAAAGAAAAAACATCTTAGTTGCTATGTTGTTTTAAATACTTTTAATGTTGTTTTTAGATCAAAAAAATCGTATTTAGGATTTATTGTTTGTTTTTCTACCTTGTATTTAAAAACACTGATGCACATTGGATTCTAGTCACTAATTTGATTATTCTATTCATATCTTTAACTGTAAACAATGTGACAGTCAATGATTGTGAAGTGTATATGTGTTAAAATTATATTGTTAGTAATAATATATATTTTTATAACCTATAGAAATAATAACATCTACTTCCGATTTTTAACACTAATGATGTTACATCATATTATGAAACGAATATCTATTTATTTGTTTTCATATTCACAGACATGTATATTTCAAAAAAGGTAACTCGATCATTTTACTGATAGATGAATAAAATAGTTGTTAAGTGAATTAACTCAATTCTTATTACCATGAGAGAGAGAGAGAGAGAATAATTCAGTTCGTTCGACTAAAAAAATTGTACACTTAAAATAATTAAGATTTAAATAGATTAAAACTATGCAATATCAGTTGATGAATCTCTGTTCTTAGATATACTGATCTTTATTACGTTTTTGAGCACTTTGAAAATCATTGCTTAACTATAAAAAAAAGTATTTGCCACAAATTTGACATCAGCTGGAAAATTTTTGAAAATCAGGAAACATTGAATAATTTTTTCTTAGTTTGAGGTGTATCAACAATTCATACTGTATCGAACAAAGAATATTTAATTTTTTCTGTGAGCACAGTATCTTTAGACCAATATATTGAAATGCTCCAATAGCTCCAAGCAGTTCCTAAGTCATTACGATTCGTATCACTTTCAAAATGACTGAGACCATTGATCGAAATCTCTCAATCAGACTTAATGTTAGAGGCTAATAGCTTAACGCTTGTTTTAAGGTAAGTTTATATAAACAGAGCATAAAGTATATGACCAATTCCATATAGGTCACGACCATAAAAGAGGTTATGTACATTGGTAAGAAATTTTAATCTAAAATATCACCAGAACTTAGCGATATTACTCTTCGTAATACAGGCTTAATGATCTGCGACCTGAGCTGTGATACTTGAAATTGGAAATCCATGACAGAAATTGCTATTCCTATGTGGATTAATAGTCTGGCTTTCTATTTACTTTAACTGATGTTTAAACAACCCAAGTAGTTTATTAAAATGACTGTCATCTTCCTTTTTTAATTAACCTATACGAAGACAGCAAATATATAAATTTTGTGACTACCGGAAATTGCAGTGCAGTGTGGAATCCCAATCATAAAGTGAAATGTTGATAATATATTTACCAATAAAGCTTTTATCTAACAATCTTCATTTTATTTGACTAAATTTTCACCCAGCCATCTGTGGTGGCTCATTCAAAAATGGATATTATAGTCATATAAGGAGATTGTTATCTCTCCGATCGAATGACTGAAGCGTAATAGAGGTTCCTGAATAGTGACTTCAGATAACAGCTGAGATATTTCACAGAATGCTGATTTTGGAAATGCATATATGTTTGGAAGATGTATTCAGTCACAAAGTAAAGACATTTATTGTAATATACTGAATCAAGATTATAAATGTATATATATCGAGCTTTGCTCACTACAACCATAATTGTTTCTGTTTTAGGTCACAGCGATTGCATTGGATAATGGAAAACCTCGTTTATCTTCATCTGTTTTAATTAATATAACTGTATTAGATGTCAACGACCATAGTCCAGTCTTAGCCTCATATGAAGCCGATGAGTCTCTTTTAAAAACCAATGATCTACCTTTAGGACGTTTTGGTTTGAAAAACTTATTTATTGTGAGAGAAAATATGCCGGTCAATACATATATTGGTAACATACTGGCATCTGATAAAGATGAAGGATTAAATGCTGAGTTGAGATTCATGTTATTTCCAGACCCGGTATACCGCATACACGAAAGGTTCAGACTATTGCCTAATGGTTCACTGTACACAAACGTTGAGTTGGATAGAGAAGAGAAGGTAAGTGTAATACTGACTGATTACCATTGAAACATGTCTATTACATTACTAACCCACTTAATATTTTCTTAGTAGTATAGAATGTTAGGATAAATCTAGATATTCTGCGACTAATTACAATACTCTGACAGAATGGGAAAAAGTAATTGCAACTGATTTATATCAAATCCAAAATTCTCCAAATAACTCGTGGCTGTCAAACACGAAAAATTTATCTCAGTTCCTTTGGTTACAAATACAAGTGTTTTTATTTTTCATATAGAAAAAATTGTTAATCAAGTTAAATCCAGTTTAAAAAAACATTAAAGTGGTTTACTTCTATAAAATTACAGTGCTTATTATGTGTATAATTTTGTTCTGGAATAGAAACTGTTGTACTCCGTGCTCCGATTAGATTACTCACCGGTGTTCCTAAAAGCTCAACCAGGCTACTGTGAGGATATAGAATACTAGATCTGAATGGAGAGTTCATTCATTCATTCATATCCCAACTGAGTCGTAAAATGACAAGTATGTTGTCGTCCCGGTCAGACAAATAATTCTATTACTCTAAATAGATATCCAATCATACCAATTCTCGTTTATCATGTGGCCTTATGGCAATATATCTATTCTTTCTTTCTAGCCATATTACTAATGACAATGGTCAAAGTATTCTTATATATATAGTAATGAATCTATGTATTGATTTGTAGGATCATTATCGCCTCACAGTCGTTGTGAGTGACCAGTCACCAGATGAACCACTAACAACAACTGGAACTATTGGTATTATTGTTCTGGACCTAAATGATAATCAACCTCAATTTTTAAGTCCACACGGACTTTTAATTCCGAGTACGTTGAATATTATTATCAAAGTAATTCCCTTTGTAAATAACAACCACGCACCCAAATCAGACAGTGATTTAAAAAGAATTTTATATAGCAAGCCTAACATTTGTTGCCTTTGAATTTACTGAAATGTATGATATACTTTATCACCTAGATATAATGGAAAGTTAGTTATAATTCAAAATAATCTATGTCTGAATAATTATGATATCAGTGAAAAATATTAAAATAAATCAGGTTATTCGACAGTGTTTGTCATTTAATATGCACATGTTTTTGTACAAACTTCATTTCTTCTTACATCATGATGTACTGTAATCAAATCCTACACTGCAATACAATTAAAAAAGGTTTTAAAGCAAACAATTTTGACAGTCCCATTGTTTTCATTGACCTCAAATGAAAGTTAGTAAATCCTAAAAGTAAACTGTTGATAAAGTAAAGCTCTTCACTATAATTAAGTTTGCTTTCTTATTTATAGTTTCTAAAGATAACACACTACTTCTGTTAATTTCTGATACTAAACATTTAGTGACTCAAACAATTTCCATTCAAAAATTTCTCTCGTTTACTGTTTTTTTACCTACAATATTACGTTATATAAGGACATTTCACAACTTACTGGAGAACTTGAACTCTTCGAAAAGTCTTTAGCGGTAAATATTTTGATATCTGACTTATAATGGTTGAGTTAAACTCAGTTGAAAAATGTATATTTGAAACAGGCTCGTGCTATGACTGTTTCAAAGTTCAGAATACACAATTTGACAAATAAATAAGCTTGGAAGAAAAAGAACTAAGAGAAAAAACTGATTCACGCTTATACAAGTTGAAACTATTTACATTGCCATTTCAGTGAGATAGATTTGAAATGAAAGTATCCCCAAATTGTTCACAATGAATAATAATTAAACTACCAAGCAAATTGATTGTAAGTCAACAATTTTTACAAGTCACTTGGTGTTTATGTTCACAAAAGTCAGTGGTTATGAAAACCATGGTAGAAGATGTGCAATGAGTTATCAATCTTCACAGAAAAAATATATAAATGTATATTATATAAATGTATATTACCCAGTAACGATTCGACCATCTAAATGGAATATTTGACTTAAAGTTTCAAATTTTCACTTCGCAAGGCACTCATTGGTTTGGAATAGAGGTTTGCAAAATATAAACCAACCACCTGATGAATAATTTACTGAGACAATTAAGTATTTAATAGGCTTGGCTGTCAATAAAGTTGTGGAAAATCATGATTATTCAATACCTTTTCCATCAAGAACTGTTTGCATATCTTTTCCAATGTTCTACAATAGTTTTAAATCACAGTTAATTATTCTATTTAAGTGGTGTATATTAATACGTAAGGTTAATAAACTAAGTTTATGGAAAATCTCTGAAAATATCTTCGAACCTGAAGTGTTATTTCTCCTAAATTACTCTAACTGGTTACCTATTACGAATACACTTAAATAGATCTTCGCATTTCTTTTTACGCTTAGATAACACACAACTCAGTGGATACAAACGACATATGAATAGGGGCATCGAACTTTATGACCAACCTTCGGAAGATCACAACTATAACGTAGCAAAGGGCAATCAAAAGCGTAGTGATCAGGAATATCAAAGTGAATCAAATCCGCTTACAGATACAAATACACAGTCTACGGCTCCTGAGCCAGTAGTTCGCCTATCTGTGTACGAAAAACCTGATCAAGTGATAAGTAAACTGTATGCTGAAGACCCAGACGCTGGAGACAATGGGGCTGTATTTTACTTGCTAGAAGAATTTTATGATTTATCAGTGGATAAGATCAGACCAAATCCTCTCATTCGAGTTCAACCAGAGACTGGCGAATTAATATTAATACGTCATATGGCACCAATTGATTTAGGGTATCATTTCTTTAAAGTGACCGCATCTGATCGTGGACATCCTCAAATGAAAATAGATCAAAAGGTAACTCATCAATATTATATTTTACGAAATTAATGGGTTTATTATTACATAAGGTAATAACAATTCATTCTCCTTTCCATACGCATTTCAGATTCTTCCATTACTTGTTGAGGACAAGCCTGCCTCAGGAAGCTTGGGACAAAGTTCATTATCATCTAGCTACTATGTGAGCAACATAACTGGACTTGGACTTGATGAATGGGGTCCAAGTGGTGGCAAAAACATTCTAATCATTACTGCTTTATCTATCGTTTCAGGAATTCTAGCAGCTATACTAATTTCGGCTGTTTTTTGTGTTACCAAACCATGCTCACGAAACCGTCACGGAAATAGATGCGTAAATGGAAGACATAATAGATTAAGAAATAGACCTCCAACGTATCCAGGAGGTCCAGACTCAAATAATGGAATATTAGTGGGTGAAAATGGGTCTTTCATTAATGGAACAATGGAACAACGAGGTTATCCAGTTTCTAATGGTTCACATCATACTACATTCCATAGGCCTCCTGGTCCACTTAACGGTGACGTGTGTATGGATAACTGGTTGCATCACGTTAGAAATAGTGAAGCGAATTATGGAAATATGTCGTTCCCATTCCATAGTCCTTCGAACGATTCCAAAAATGATATTTCAAATGACCAACACATTCTTATAAATCCCAGGCACAATAATCAAACGGAAAACAATTTGGTAAGCTAACATGATTGATGATTAATTGATATATAAACTTACATTTCAAGTGGTGACAGTACTTTAACATTTTTAGCCTTGTAGTAATATTTTATCACATATAACTAACCGCTTAATTATATGATAAATCTTGAAATAGGTAAGACTAATCGATTCCAAAAAGGAGATAAATGTTGCGCTCTGAATATAAGTAGGTTTTTAACTGACTTATCTGTATGATCACATTAACCCTTGAAGGACATCATGTTATAGATTAAACAATGGGTCATTCGAACAATTAGTCAATAACCAATGAACTAAGTTATTTGTTGTTTATGAGATTTAAAGTTTCGATGATAAACAGTAAATTATTACAGCGTTTTCTAGGAAGAAATAATCTTTACTATTCATTTTACATTGTTACTGCAAACTTACTTTTGCAAATCTGTCAATAAAATTATAGAATATTCGCTCTTAGCTACTGAGATTTTTACAAGTGTAACGATGGGAAACAATACTTTAGTGTAGAATTTTAACAAAAGTTAACAACAAAAAACAACTTTTAACTGTTATTTGAATTGGGAAAAGAAAAACAGTTCACTAGTTCATCACTGTTAGTTAGAAGACACTTGAATGACAATACAGTAAAATATGTCTTATCAGGTAGAACACAGTGAGTTGTTGGAATTTACCACCTATTTTTATAAATTCTCAATAATACCGGGATACTGTATCATACACAACTATTGCCTACTTTATACTAAGAGAAGCAAATTTGTGAACTCATTGATTTCAGACTTGACTTATTTTTTTAGTCTTTTATAATAAAATTTCTGACGAGACATTCTGTCATTTCATTAAAGTTAAGTACCAACAAATCAAATAGTCAATTTTTGCTTAACCTATCAGTAAGTGATGACTTAGCGATAACTTTGCGTATTGTTGAACCGAAATGGCACATCTTTAAAATAAGCAAATTTTAATAATCGTTTTGACTTACTTTCCTATCTTCCTATTTTCATATAAAATGAAAATCCTATTTATTGATCAACACAAGAATTATGTACAGAATGAAACAGCACAAGTTACATATGAAAACTTGAAGAATAATCAGCTTCATGATATTCCTCTCTCATCTGGTTTGGCTTCGGCTAATTTATCACTTTCCTCGAGAAATAATGACCAAGCTGTTGCTGTACGTGTTCTCAGTCAACAAATGAATAGTGATAGATTTGGTGAAATTCAAGATCAAATATTTCTACCCCGATCCAATAGGCTTTCTGGCATAACAATTGGCTATTCTACTGATTCAATGACTTCAACTTCGAACAGTGCCTTGCCTGCATTTAACATAAAACTGGATCCTGTAAATGCTTTTTGTGTTACTAAACCGATACCAGTAGTGTCTAAAATTATATGCAATTTCAATGAATATCAAATGGTAAGTAATTTAGAACTGATTTATTCCAATGAATTTTATTGTGACTAATGAGTAGTTTGCTGAAATGCTACTGGTCGGAAATGGCCATACAAATTACAAAGACGACAGAGCATTCTACATGCAAACGGGAGCTCTTGTTCTTGATATTCTCGAACAATATGACTAAATTAAGGAATTCTAAACTAAGTTTGTCATGATTATGGTCATCTGAACTTTCTTGCATGTAAACGGAAGTGACTTTCTGACTAAAATATTCTGCCATCGGGTAGTAACATACTTGTCTTAGTGGTGGGGAGAGTCACTTAGCACTTTGTAAAGAATGGACTTCCTCACCAAGAAGTTTTGATCAGTAGCTGACGGAATCGGTATAGTTCATTTCAGTTGTAGAGTAATTTTTAGTCGTTCCAGGAAAACTAGTCAACATATAGTTGAATTACTTACTTATTCAATTATTTGACATTTAAATAGAATGTATAACCTGGTTATAGTAATCCACTGTTAATACCTTATTCAACTAGGCATATTATTACCTACATTTTGTTGCCTCTACTAGCTTTGCTGTGAAGCTGAAATCAAATTTCTTGAATTGCTTATTCCCCTCCAAAGTACCCAAGTTATTTTTATATATTTCCATTGAACAGGATTCTCAGACAACAGAGAACAGTGAGGCTTTACACGAAGCGAATCCTGCGAACCCAACACACTTCAAGACGAATCTGCAGGATAATCCTCTGGATGACAGGTTAGTTAGGCATCAAGGAAAGCGGTTAGTTACAACAGTACCTAAATTAGGCACATTGTACAACTGTATGACAGTAGGTCACAGATCAAATTTAGGTGTTGAACAAATCATATCATTTGAAGAGCATGCATCCGATTCTGGTCGAGGTGGAAGTGAAGAAGAACTTACTGTACAAAAATATGATCCACATAAGGCAGAGACAATCATTTCAAATATGAACCCTGAAGAAGGTAACGGTTTTTTCATAAATTTTCCATGAAACCAATTAAAAGTCTTATACTAAAACCTTGGTGTCTCAATAAATTATTTTTTATTTTATAATAGATTTTGAGATATAAATTAGTTTAATAATATAGTTAATAAATTCAGACCTGTCCAAAAAGTATGACAAAATCGATCAACATGACTGAGAGTGTTAATCACTACTTGACTTTTTCTAGGAGCCTCATATGATTTAAATCTTATCAACAATCTTTTATTCTAATTTTCATAGTTTTAAATCATAAATTTATCCTAGCTCGATCACCATTGAAAATCAGGAAGCACCTAGTGGCTGTCTCATCCTTGTATAGGACCCCTCAAGAGTGCACATCTACCACCCAGCCACAGGGAATATAACTCAGGACCTTCGATCGTGAGCGAAAATCCTTAACCTCTAGACCACTGAGACGGTATGCAATCGTATAAATATTAACATTTAGTTCACTATATTGTGTGACCGTCTCCATTGCCTGTGGTAGAAAACTTTCACCCCACTCTGACTGAACTCTACTGGTTATGACTTCTCACCAGAACTCCAGGAATTGCATCTTGAAGCTAGTTATTTAAGAGAATATGATTATCGTCAGTACAGGATATTGTGGAGATTATGGAATCTTCATTGTTTTAAGATCAGTTCGCGAATTTATAACTGAAAATTTTTAAATCTCCATAAAATCTTATATTGATGATTTTACTTAAATCGTTTAAGAACTTCAATCATATTAATACACAAACATATTTATAAGAATGGTATTTTCAACAAATTCTCATCAGGTTCTATTGATATTGTGGTGTGTGCTACTGATGTTGTTAGATATAAGTAATATATATCATCAATCGAAAGTGAAGTACCTGACAAAACAAGGTTAGGAAGATCGAAGAAAAAAGAACGAGAACAGAGAATGATCACTATGGAAATGAAGGAACAAGGAAGTCTGAGACGATTGATTGACGTTTTGCAAATGAAGTATTTACTGTATGGTTCTCTAATTTGGCGTTTAAACATATTTGATTGTCCCCACTCATGTTCTCGTTCACTACAATATGCGTTTAAATCCGTAATCAAATAGCCAAGTTTAGGGCAAATAGATTTTCAAGAATGAGGAATTCGAATGCTGGAGTTGTTAGTAAAATGTGTTAATTAACGTTTACAAAGACCGAACTAACCAAAATACAGTGTATACTTGAATCAGATTTGTGGCAGCAATGATCGAAAGAAATATAGCTCACATATAGTAATAGAAGTAAAGTGTGGTAAATAACTAAATGGAGTATTTGATCAAAAATCATGTTCCGTACAAAATGATATGAACCAAGTAAGAGTTAGTTACATTAAATTAAGTGCTATGATGATTGTTCAAATTTATAAGAATAAAATAATTAAGTCGGATAAATTTAAGTCCGATAAATGCAGAGGTAATGAGAACATGTGAATTAAACATATTGGGCCATTTTTTAATCGATATAACCAATGGATTACTGGGTATGAGTCTAGTCAAGGTAGGAAAAGAAACTGAATAGATTTCTTCTGAATCCTCAACTCATTCTTTTTTTCAAAGAAAATTAGTACTGTGAAAAGTTTTCTCACCAAACCATTATTTCCTTTTTTAACTAGATATAAGTATATGGAATGAGTCGACTATTCAAAATGATGTATCACTCAACTCAAACTTACCAGATAAATCTGATGTCAGTTTAAGCAATCCATGGTTTGAAACAACCGCCTCACCAATGGGATCAGATTATCAACGCGAAGGCCGCTTTTGCATGTCCACACCATGAACGGAAAAGAAAATGACTATTAAGAACGAGTTACAAAGGGTTTAATTTGCTTCAAAGTTTGTATAATAACGAGAAGAAATACTTATTTCGAGACAAATACTAACTTATCGATAAAAACAACACATAATGATATTAAAAGCATTTTACAAAAGGGAAAACTATGAGTTCAATGTTTACTTCTGAGAAATAAAAATACAAATACCCTATGCTTTATTTACATAATTTCTCAGTTATTTCATCTTCATTATTTTCTATGCATTCATCTTATTGTTTGATTTCACATATAATTAGGTGTAATTCAATGTCTGCCCAATGGTATTGTATGAAAATTTGATTATAGCTTCTTTCATGTATGTATATATGTGCATATATCTGAATCTGTACATTTCCTTAAAACACCCTATTGTTTGCTAATTGTTGAAATTTTCATCCAAACTGTCTTTAACTATAAACTTGTCACTAGGTTATGCTGTTTTTGTATGATCAATAATTTCATAGTATACTTTGATTGATTGACAATTAACATGTAAATAAATTTACTAGTTAGAAATATAAATAAAGTTTACATTCCTTAGGTCATTAGTTAAGAGAAACAAAAAAACGGACATACTGAACTATTCCTGTTTTATAAAAATGCCAGTGTTTATATTTGTCTATTTAGAAAATCGTAAATGTTCCCTTTTTCTTTTCTAGATATTCCGTTTATTTAAACATTTCTCTACTAGGAAATTAAATTCATCTAAACATTTTCCTATTAATACCACGGGTGTGAGCTACTTATTTCCTGTGAAAATATCCTATTCTTAGAAATCCAAGGTAAAAATTCCACAGACAATAGAATGTCTTTGTCTTTTCACTTCTGAAGACAGTGAAGTTCGATTTCAATGAGCAATGAATTATAAATAGTTTAGCACTAGTAAATAAAGAGTGCAATTTAAAGCATCTTTTACGAACTATTTCATTTCCATAAACTGATTTTAAAAAGTTTCAGCTAAAGCTTTCTAATTACATCAATGCCAATCGACTAGTAATATAAAACTGGATTTGATGAACGTCACAATGAAACTAGACCTCTTAACTTTGAGTTATTAATATATACTACTTACAAGTACCTCAAAACTTTACTCGAAATTTCATATTACAATAGACCCTATAAATATTTCATCTAAAAACTTGTTTAAAACATATTTAAAGGTAAGAATGTTTCATAACCAGCGTGCTTAGTCTTTTATTCATCGACTTCATTGTTTCCAACATTGAATATTATACTAACAACATCTATTCAAAAATTTATCATCAGAAATTGACTTTAAAAACATATTGTTTACTTTTGATGATATCCCAGACTGCAAATGATTTTTTCTTTCATTTAGGTTTATATACGAAGAGCTATACTTTTATTTTATTAAAATGAATCTCACTAACCCATAGACAATAAATGAATCTGTTAATTAAAATATTTATTGGTTTCGGGATTCCTACAGATAATTCATAATTTTACAAAACGAAGTGAGGCATGTGAAGCATCTGCAAAACCAATGTGAGTAATCCTAAAAGTCATCACTTCAGTTCTTATAAAATTATCTTATATCGTGGTTCTGTTGTAATTAGGTGTTACATATAAAGATGAAGTCATAGTACAATGCTCACAATATTCAGCGATTCCTCATTTGACTTTAATTTGCAATGAAAACTACATTGAAACCAAACAAATTCATCATTAAAAAAACAGCTCGCTGTAATTATTTTTTCTAGTGAGAAGCAAAACTGATTGTCATGTTTTCCATTAAAAGAGCAAATCTGATTTATTAAAAATCAGAAACTACAGTAATGAAAACGAATACAGCTGAATATTCTTTTCACAATGGTTACACAAAAATTTTGCATCTACTCGTTTTATAAAAATTGAGTCGGAGTAGCATGATATATATCTAAACAAAACCACTACAAGATTCGTGTACAGTCATATATATATACTGAAGTTAATATCATTCATTTTTACTGACAGACAATAGCACCCAAGGATTGACAAATATGATTATGTCAAGGGTAAAATAAGTCTTAAAGTTACTTACTTACTTACTTACTTACTTACTTACTTACTTACTTACTTACTTACTTACTCACTTACGCCTGTTACCCCTCGTCGAGGAGCATAGGCCGCTTACCAGCATTCTCCATCCAACTCTGTCCTGAGCCTTCCTTTCCAGTTCTTTCCAGTTGCTATTCATCCTTTTCACATCTGCTTCTATTTCCCGGCGTAATGTGTTTTTTGGCCTTCCTCTTTTTCGTTTTCCTTCCGGATTCCAAGTTAGGGCTTGCCTCGTGGTGTAGTTTGGTGATTTCTTTAATGTATGTCCGATCCACTTCCAACGTCTTTTCCTAATTTCCTATTCAGCTGAAAGCTGGTTTGTCCTCTCCCATAAAACGCTGTTGCTGATAGTATCTGGTCAATGGATGTTGAGTATTTTGCGTAGACAACTGTTTATAAATACTTGTACCTTCCTGATGATGGTTGTAGTAGTTCTCCACGTTTCAGCTCCGTACAGTAGGACTATCTTGACGTTCGTATTGAAGGTTCTCACGTTGAAGTTAGTTGACAATTGTTTTGAGTTCCATATGTTCTTCAATTGTAGAAATGCTGCCCTTGCTTTTTAGCGAGTTAGCTTTTCTACGGGATGGGGTCGCTAATCCCATGCCCAACCCACCTCCTTTACCTGGGCTTGGGACAGGCAGTAATTCTAGAAGAGCTACAGGAGGAGTTAAGTCTTAAAGTTACCTAGGTTAAAATCAACGCATAACTATGAGAAGTATAATATCTCCTTACAGTATAGCAACTCAGATACAATTGAGTTTGTTTACATCTAATTTGGCTAAGCCCTTTTGTTAACTTATTTAATGGACAGTCATTCATACAATAACAACCTACTTATACCATTGTTCTTTTATTATATACGCTTGAACATTGCTTATTGCCTACGCATGTATTCATTCCGCTAGCCTTATTATTAATCGCTTAATTGATCCGATGATTCATACTTTCCCACTTATATATATATGTACACCTTAATCCTTTTTACTGCTCTGTACTGCGCTACACCGTATTGTATACGCTTAATTTGGTTCTCACGCTCACTCGCCTGCTTTACGGCACTGCTCTTTCATGCTTGTTTAACGTGCCTGTAATATTGGATACCTGTGTGTGGTTCAATAATAAACGCAATCAACCCTTCGTATTCGCCTTCTGATTTATACACCGTTAGGACGTTATCTAGTAACGGTTATCAAGACGAACAATATACGAAGTTAGGGATAATATCGAATATCGACCACCACAACTGTTTTCGAATGAGATGTCTCATATTTTTGTTCGAAGAGCTCTATCTGTTAACCAAAGGTTGTACAAAAAGCTCAAATTGAGTTACCTGAATGTCAGTTACAATAGCCTACATTGTCATAAGAAGGTGTGATTTAGCGACCCATTGTTACGACATGCAGTGTGGAAGACTGATACTAGTGCACAAACTTTCTATAATCAAGATCAGCCGGCTACTGAGTGAGTGCGAAGACTAGGAGTAAAGGAGGAAGTTCATGGAGCTATACATAACGTTAACTGTTTAGTGAAATTTTTCAATCTGTCAAATACAATAAACTTAATAAGTAAATAACAAAGAGTAATTCACTTTCAATTCCATCATCACTTGAAATTCCCTGCAATTTTTATTACATTTGTTTTACTAAGGTCAAATTTTTTTTTTACCAACAATAAAGTGTAAATGCACTTTAAGGGATTTTCTTCAAATATCAATCTAGATTGAAGCTGTATGGAATTTCGAATTAAATAAATATATCTTTAGAATAATTTCATCATTGTTTTAATCTATGTAGGATCAAGTGAACAAGAAAAGTATTAAATAACAAAAAAATTAATCGATTTTTTTAAATTTGTTTACATTTTGACCAGTTATCTACTTGAAATCACCTTCATTAAAAAGTACATAGAAAGGTAGAAAGAGAAACATATGAACTTTGAAATGAATATCTATATTAAAATCAAATCAGTCTATTAATTACTAATCGAACGTTTCCCCAGAGAAGAAGATGTATTTGAATAACTCCTTTATTACACTGTCAAATTCTTTAGCATCATATATTCATAATTCTATACAGTATTGGAATCAAAACTTGATAGACCATTTAACTATTCCTAGGTTTCTATGATTACGTCACTGATGTCACAAAGAATATAATTAGGATATTTCAACTAAGATAGTAGTATTTTAATAAAACGCATTTGGTAAGTTTGTTCATATTCCCTAAATTCACTCTCTTCCGTGTGTTATTCCAAACTACTTACTAATATTCAGTAACTGGTTTCATTTCTAATAACATTTGAGCGTGTAATGTAACGTAAATCTGTTGTCAGACAATATTGTTGAGTGCATATATAGGCTGACAATATTCCACTTATCTCTTATCGCAATTGGGTGTTCTCAATACTTGAAACAGATATTCTTGATCTTAATTTGCTCTTTGAACATTTGTTTTATTGTAAGTAGCCTCCATATTTTGGTGCTCATCATTCTCATTTCGATACTGTTTGCTATGGTAATATCGGCACTGCTATTAGCTGTCACATTTCTTTTCGCATGTTGCTGTGACTCTAAAAAATCAACTTGAGAAGTTCGCTTTTCTGATTGCACACGAACTTGGTAAATACCGTAAACACTTCACGAATTGAGGTTTGTAATGTATTACATATAATTTCACAATTATATTGTTGTCTTTACAAATAATCTCGCGTTTCGTTTTGCCGATTATGTGGTTGGTGAATTCGATTAAAATTTACAATTTCCGATGAAACTTATCTATTCGGTCATTATTAGAGAATTAAATGAAAGAACAACTCTATTTCAATAGTGATTGAAACGAATTATTCGTTTTAGTAACCTAAAAATGATTAGCATACAAACAAAAATTCAAATAGGAAGTCACGTAATAAAACTAAAAGGGATCACTAAGTAATTAAATTGTGTTTGTATATTGGTAATATTATGTAGAGAGAAGCGGTCTAGGTTCTAGAAGTTCAAATGGGCAACCATGATCTGCGAAGTTAGTTAAGTTGGAGGAGGAGTTAAGACATTAGTCTACTAGAGTTATTGGATAAAGAAATATATATATATATATATATATATATATATATATATATATATATATCACAAATTGACTGGATTTTAAACACTCCATTACAACTCGATCGTTTAAAGACATTATTTTTACTGTGATACATTTTCGAATTACGGTTTTTTGATACATTTTTCCCGTAATTCTGATGACGTTGGAAATTTTGTTGACAAGCTGATTATTGATAGACTTTTAGCTACTAACCTTTGAAATGATTATTGTTACTGATTGTGACCTTTGTGATTAGCTCAATAATAAATAATTCTTCTGGATTCCTTTTGAATTGTTTTCATACTAATCAGTACATATTTCAACGCAAATCTCTGAAATGTGAAGCTTGAGTATCTCAATTTTGTGGATTATAAAAGGTGCATATCATTGCCTAAGTAGTTTAGACATAGTATCTAAGTAAATTGCAGTTCTAGAGAGGTGGATGAAGCAAATACATCAAAACATACCATCATTTAATAATTGTTTAATTGTTTATTCACAACCTTCCCGGAAAAAGATATGACGATTACCTAGTTCTCCAAAGTGCAACAGTTACCGACAATATAACTGTTGCTCAGATTCCCCACCAGGTATAAGGATGAAGGCGTTTAAGGTTCTACGTTTATTTTGATATCATGTTTAAACATATGATTGTATCTATATAATTAGATTGTTTTTTTATAGTGAAAGGAACTGAACGGTTAATAGCTGAATAGATATTCTGTAAAAATAAAAAAATAAAAAAGAAAGTAAAGTAGAAATTCCTACATAAGTTGAAAAGAACTTGCTTTAACAAATGCTAAATGTAAAATACTAAAAACTTCATGCTAACTTAGTAAAAAAGAACAGTACAACTCAAATGATAAAGTCATGAATTTAAGTAGATCAACGAATAGTGGTGCATTCACTTAGTAATTTCTCATTTGTTGTAAAAAATTAAGTAACTCTAAAACAGCTCAAACGACATTATACTCTTTTTTTAAATAGAGCATGGTTAGAGTTAATTTTTATAAAGTAACTTCGACAAACAGCGTAAATATTTGTTCATAAATCTGGAGATTTCAAAAAATCCATGCAATGTACTTTGTCAAGGCAATAAAATCAAATACACTTGTAGATACATGAAACTGACCAATATATCTATGAGATGTATTGAGAAATACAAAAAGGACATTCTTATATATATATATATATATATATATATATATATATATATATATATATATATCGCGTGCGAGACAGACAGGTCCTGGGTTCAAATCTCGCGACACGGGACGTGGAGGCGCACTGCTGAGAAGTCACGCAATGGGATGAAACGGTCATCTAGTGCTTCCAGGTTCTCCATGGTGATCTAGCTGCAGTTAACGCATGATTTCAACTATAAGAAAACAAATAAATCCAGAAGAATAATTTCAACAGTGTTTTGAAAAGTCAAGTAGAAATACTGGGAAAAAATGAATTATTATTACTACTATTCTTGTTACTGCTACCCTGTTTAATCGTAATTTCGGTTAATCAAAATCCTTCTAAAATTTAAGTATGTAACATGATTAACACTATAAATTTTACTGTTATATTGTAGTGATTTGAATAGGTTGGTTATAACACCTGACTAATTTTTCTATAATACAATGTTTTGTAATGTTAAATTTGATTCTTAGCTAGTTAGATGCATCAGGAGTTACGTTAGTATTTCTTGCAAGTTTTAAGTGGATTCTGAAGTGATCAAATGAAATGATACAGTAACGGATTTTGACTCTTACTAAAAAGGTTACAAGTAATGTTTACCTATCACGTACAGGATATTTCGTCTTACTAAGTTGCATAAATATTAGAAAAAGATTCCTGACATGCAACTAAAATTACAAATCTGTCAATAAATACAATTAAAAATTGGTTTAGTTATTGACATTTATTAGTCCAGGAGCTGGACAAATAATTTTTAAGGATTATTTCTGTCAGTTTTCGGTATAAACCAATTAGGATTTTAAAGATGATTAAATTTACAATTAAAATCACTAATTAATATTTGAGTTGGACAATCAGTGAAAGCCAAGGAGAACTGGGAGGCCAATCTATCGTGGTACTCCAGCGAACTAAATAAGAACTTCAGATTTCGTAGTGAACACTTAACCTTCAGATAACTGAGTCGGAATTTTATGGCGTTCGTTTCTGACTTCCCACTTGAAATCCAGGAATCACTTTTCGACCACATATACTAACAATCACGTGATTGCAAGTGACCAGCTGCTTGTTAAGATTATGAAACAGTAAGTTATTAATTAGGCCGGACAAACAGAAAAATTAATGACTTATTCTGAAATAAATGTTTTAATTGGAAATTAATATGCAGGGATCATTTCACTAGACGGTAGGACTGAAACTACGTATATCACTACATATACTTGATTCAATGCATAATAATGCATAATAAGTCTGTAAATATTAGATTCTAGCTTTTAAACGTGTTAATTGTCGTATCTTGAAAATTTTCATTTTATTCAACAGTAATAAAATTTTTACAAACCGACCATATTATTTAAGACAACCAAAAGTTTTAAGGTTTATACCTAAGAGAGTTTCAGATCAAATTAATCGGAAATTCTGTCATGGGGAATGGTGTGCGAATTTAGAAATAGTTAAGGAAAATAGTGATGGTGAAAAAGAAAAATGATGTATGAAACTGAAAAAATACCCAAAAAGCTATTTTATCAAGAAATTTGCGGAACAAACACACTTGTACCTAATTATTGTGTAACCGACTTATTTACGAAAGCAAGCTTTATACAGTAATCAGAAAGGTAGAATAATCCATAACCAAAATGAATTACCTTGTCAAATATTGTTAAACTGTTCAATGAAGCAGACAGGTACAAATATCGAGGTGATACAATCGTTTTTGTGATAAATCTTACAGATTCCTAAGTCAATGCTCGATAGTTTTCAATGGTGTAGAGAAAAGTTATCGTTCCACTAATTCATTCGCTAAATTTATAGGTTTTACTAACTATTTTTTCAGAACTCATAATATAGAAAAAGAACAGAAAACTTTCCAAGGG